TTTCCTTTGATGATTTCCTCGCTTCCCCGGAAAGCTAGAGAGATACCATGTAAGTTCTGCAAACTGCATGTGAGCTGTTTCACTTAGACCAGAGCAGCAGAAACAACAAAGCTTGCAGTTGTCTTTTGGATTTCATCGTGAAAAGCCTTTGGGTAGTTTTCAGATGACAGAAGATCCTTGGTTCCTGAAAGGGAGGAGTTCTGCCAAAACTTTGAAGATCCATGTAAACTTTGCAAATTACCCATCTTTTGGAGACAATTATATCAAACGATATCGTGGATTACAATACATGAGAAGTGTTTAGAGCCTGGAAGATTATTTATGTTTGGCATTAACTCTTATGGTCATAATTTCAAGCGGAGAGAAAAGGAATACGCAGGAACCCTCTTATTATCTTTTGAAATATGAAGATCAGAGGAAAAGCAGGGTTTAAAGTGTGCAGTGATGGTCCTCAAAACCCATCTATAAATTAGCTGGCATCCTACATCTATAAAAAAAGAAGACTTTGAGCTGATTTTGAGGCACAGGGTAGACCTCATGAATGGTTAGCCATACTCGAGGAGCTGAATCACTATATACCACAGGAGGAAATTGCAGCCTGCGGCGCAGAGCACCGGTAGAAATGTTTCCTCTTTGCTTGGATTGATACAAGATTTGGAAACCAAATTCGGGAACGGACAATTGCACCAGTGAGAAAAAAAAAAAAAAAAGGAAAAAGCATGAACAGCAGTAGAGATGATGACGGATTCTTGAACCGGATTGCGTTTTCAGGAGCCGTGCCCCTGGCTAACAGCCAAGGGACTCCCCACGGGGTGCCCGTGAGGGAGCCCTTCGGGGTGCCCTTCCCCTTTGAGCCGTCTTGCTGGGAGCAAGCGTACAGCGGGCACCCACCTCGCATCTCCTACATCCCCTTCCCCGGCTACGTGGGCTTCTACGACTACTCCTTCGAGCCTGCCTTCATCCGAAAGAGGAACGAGAGGGAGAGGCAGCGGGTGCGCTGCGTCAACGAGGGCTACACGCGCCTCCGGGAGCACCTGCCCAAGGAATTCGCCGACAAGCGCCTCAGCAAGGTGGAGACCCTGCGCGCGGCCATCAGTTACATCAAGCACCTGCAGAGCCTGCTGGACCGTCATCCCTTAGGCTCCGGCGGCGAGGAAGCGCTCGGCGCCGCGGACATCGCGGAGGCTCCCAGCCCTGGTCCCCCCAGGGAGTGCAACAGTGACGGGGAGTCCAAAACCTCCTCGGCCTCTTCTCCCTACAGCGAGTTCGAGGAGCCGGGCAGCTAGGAAATGTCCTCCCTGGAAACAGGAGCCTCCAAGATCGCCTGGAAAGCATATCCAAAGCCTTGGGGACTTGGCTGCAGGTTGAAACGAACACCGGGAAAAAAAAAAAAAAAAAAAAAAAAGCGAAGATCTAAAGGTATTTTTCAATCTTTCAGGGGATTTCTCATTTTGTCTGCAAGGAACCTAAAGACACTTTGTGAGCAAGCAGATTTCTCCCAGATTGCCTCAGCCCTACTGCTAAACTTTCTGTAGACTGCAGAAAATGAAGCGGTTTTTCTCATTCTGCTTTTGTCCTGTTTGTTGCCTTTTGCCTTGCGCTTGGTGAGACAAACAGATAAAGCAGTTTCAGGAAATCCTCCTCCCTCTCCTCTGCTCCCTCCTGTAGCGTTTATTGCCTGTTTTTCCTGACTGCTAACCTAAGACGTGCTCCGTTCTAAACGATTGGACTGGGAAAGGTAAGATTGAGGTAGAATTGACTTTCCCTAAAATTTTTACAAAACTCCCAGAAAAGCTTCTATTTCTCCCCACCTTTTCTTTTAAATATATGCATATAAATATAAATAAGCCTATATTTGTGAATTGATTTCTTTTGCAGCATCTTCTAAAGTGACAACTCATGCTTTGGAAATGGCTGTATGGTGATTTTTTTGAAGGATTCTTTTCAGGCAAAGAAAGTCTGACACTTTCGTTCCAGTCAATACAAGGAAGTGGCCAGCAGAGTTTTGTAAAACTGCACCTATAAAAGCAAAGTTTCACTATTGATAGTGAAGAAATTTTCGAGCCTTTTTTTTTCTTTTATGAAAACTGAGTTTGCAGACAAGATGTTATTGGCCATGGCTTTTGAGAGGTCAGAATTTATACACTTAGAAATATGTTCCTGTAGTGGTTAGGTGCTGGTGTGTACAAAAATGGAAACTTTAAATATATCAGTTTACATCTGCATGAAAATGTAGGTATTTCTCCTTTTTTACTGTATTGTTTTTAAAAATGTGACACCTTTAAGACTAATATTTCAAAATCTACAAAATACTGTTAATTTAGACCATGTCTACTTAAAATGAGATGCAGATTTTTTTCTCCACATTTCTCAAAAATCTTTCCTTTCTCCAAGCCCAGATTTACCCAAAAACTTAACTATTTGCTTATATTTAAATATCTGCCACTGCGAATTAGGGGTAAACTGCCCTTTTCCCATATGCTTCCCACTTACCTTTCAAACTCTTTTTTTTGACATCATGTTGGAGAAGTGGTTTCATATCTTATTTTCTTTCTGTCATGATATGCTGACTGGAGACATACTCATGTATAAATATGAACAAATATTGATCAAATACCTCACAGCATGTCCATGAATTTCATTTAAATAAAAAGTGGAATCAACCCTGATTGTGTTCCCCCTTTTTTTTTTTCCCCCACTTTCTATCGATGATAATGAATGTGTCAGCAGCGTTTGCAGGAATAATGAATTTTCAGGAAACAATAAAGGAAATGGTCAGAAGTATATGCGAACTGCTAACTATGATACTTGTAAGAGTTTGTAAATTTAGAAAAGGGAGCAAAAAGGTGTGTGCTGTGGTCATTTAATCAAAATTATGAAGTGTAAAAATACTCCTGTGCTGATTTTCAGCCTACTACTTTGGAACACTTGATTGAGCACTTTTAGCTGTTGGCTGCTGTCTCCAAACTCGTGCACCAAAAGTTTCCGTCTAACCATTGCTGAGGCTCTGACCATATTTCTTTTCAAAAATTTCAGCCCATCATCTTGAAAAGCAAATATGTTTAGGCAAACCACACAATTGACAAGTGGAAATGAGTGAGTTATCTGAATGGTTTGCTACGAATTAGTCACTCAGTGGGACCATATTACAGCAGCATTGTTAAAAATGTCCGTGCAAGTCATGAGCTTCGTTCTTTCTTTTTTTATGCAGCAGCCAAGTTCCTTTTACAATTACTTTATTTTTTCTGTAAGGGCTGTTACTTTTGTGTGATCTGTTTCCAAGACACAAAGAGTGTAGATGCAGCTTCCTGGACAATTCCCTCTAAGGATTCCAAGGTGAAGAGTGTGTTTTGGGGGTGACAAGTGTCTGTTACCAAAAGAAAGGGGAGGAGGGTAAGGTAGTGGTCTGAATGTCTGACTGGGATTCATGACTTTTTGGCTCTTGTTCTCTTCACCATCTCTGGTAGGAGACTCAGTGTCTCACTGGCTCATATTTTAGATTTTTGGAAATACAGTAATGCTGGTGGTAGCTCTGTCAGTAAGACCGAATTGCATTTCTCCTACAAAGTAGAGCATAAATCCCTGATACCTATGAAAAATGTGTGCTCCCTCAGAGTACCTCAGACGAATGCTATGAGGCTGAGTTGTCTGCAAAGTTCTCTGAAGGCAAGACAGCAGTTAATATACGTAAATTACAGTGAATTAAATCAAGCCAAATAAAAATGACTATAAGGTCCATTACTTTGTGGGTGGAAAGCATCAGATAACATCCCGCAGAAATGTCTAGGTCGGATGGTTATCGCAGGCCTTTGGGCTGTCAGGCTATATAGGGCTATACAGGGCTATCCATACTCCGATTTCCACATCCCAGAGAAGGTCGTGTACCACTCACAGGAGAGAACAGTCTACATTTTGTTTCTCACTGTTGCTGTTGCCCTACAAACCTCTTGCATGGCTTTAGCACTTTCAGCACACGGAACTAGAAAACAACAGAAAATTTACCACTTATGGATTGGTGTTTCCTACATGCATCAACAAAGATTTCAAAGCAATGCTACATTTCAAAAGCTTTCTTAAGCTGTTTCTGTCTGGACAAAAGTTTTCTTCAACGCTTCCAAAGTGTATCATGATGAGGCTTTGAAAGCAGACAACGACCCAACTCATCACCCTGAGAATTAAACTCTTAATAGAAATGTTGACCAGAAGAATTTTCTGCATGTGGCGTGATAACTATTTACAAGGAAGACGAACGCTGATATCCCTAGGCAGCCGGGCTGCAGCTTTATCAAACTCCTGCACACCAAATGCAGACACTTTAATCTTTCTATCAGATGGCGAAAAAAACGTACATCTGAAGTCTTCCCACTTCTGTCATTAAATTACAAATCCATTTGCTTCTTGATATTATCAGTATTTAAAAGATGTGTAATCCTGGCCATGGGATTGCTTTTAATCCCCTAATAGCTATTTAGCTGATTTCTTCAGTAAAAGCCCATCCACGCTCCTTTCATGTTACATTATCTGGTGTCAATAAATGGCCAAAGAAAACCAGAAGATACTGCAGAAAAGTAACATTCAGACAGTAAAGCAATCAGGGCCAATTTATTCCTCTGGAACAAATGAACAGGGAACATTCACACAAAAATAAAGAAGCTTTGAAAACATTTGTCACCAACATACAGATCCAGAATGTTTTGAAGAGAATCTTGGGCAGTACGGATGGGAGAGCGCTGCTGAAGTTAGGAGGTGTCAATCCCTGTAGGGCTCTACAACATAGGGATTTAGTAGCCATACCTGGAGTGGGTACCTCAGTAGATCCTCAGCACATGGTTAAATTGCTATAGAGAGAGCAAGAGAGAGATTTGCAAAGAGGGGAGCAAAGCGGTGAGACTGTAGCAACACTCAGCTCTTTCTTACATGTGGCTGTCCAGTTGGAGGTCTCAAAGCCCCATAAAAGCAAGATGAAGAACATTATCAACCAGAAAGTATGATGGTAGGTAGAAATCTATTATAAATGCTTGCTTGTACTTCTCACAAGATTTTTATATGGTTTTTCTACCTGACTGTGAATATGTGCATCGACAAAGCAATAGAAACATTCTGTTAGATGAGGAAGCCTGACTTGCTGAGAGATCAAAGCACCCTGGTTCTAATGGTGAATGTTTCTCTCCATACCTCCTTTACACAGAATTAATGGGAGAATCAAGCACAGAGAAGGGCCAGGCACGGCCGCTGTTTAGATGAGCACAGACAGCTAAATGCTCTTGTTTGCAATTTGCAGCAGTTTGCAAGGTGGCATTGCTCAGAAGACACTCCAGAGCTGGCTGAAAACATTATGACTAGAATTCATTTGATCCAAATGAATGAAAACAGTCTTATTTGGGGGACTGATGTCAGTGAGCTTGAGCCAAGACAAGGAAATTCAATAGGAACCGCTGTGCTCACTTCATGTGCTGTGCAGGAGGCTGTTAGGAAGTTTTCGGGAGTGAAAGAATCACCTCTGGCCATCAGACCGTCCTTCTCCCTTCCCACCCATATCAACATTGCACAGGTCTTCCTGATGCCTGACTGTGGAGTGTGAGGATTGCATTATTAAGAAAAGCAGTTAGAGCATCCTAAGTAATGTAGCAACAGCAGTGTCCAAGTGCCTTCTCTTCCCCGGCGTGAAAACCCACCGACCAGCTGCCCTTCCCTCCCGGCATGCCCATCACAGCCAGCTGCTGGAAGGCAGCTTGGGGAATACATGAGAGCTGTGGCTACTTGTTGCTGCCAATGCCTGGGCTGAGGGTGAGAATAAAGATTCAGAGCTCAGGTCTGGCAGCGAGGTCCAAGCTCAGGAGGCAAAGCCCTCCCCAGGTTGCAAACTGAGTTAAAAAAATGAAGTGAATAACCATAAAAACCTAACTCATAAAGCGATAGCTCAGGTATGTGCACAGGCTGAGTTTATTGGATACACTTCAAAGGAAAAGCACAAGAAAAGATAGGTTTAATTGGTTTCCCTTTATTTGTCATGGCTTACGAAGAAGTGCTCTTCCTTAACAAACATGGTCGCTTCATCTCTTGATCTGGACATGCTCGGAGAATCCATGGCTGGACCCAGGAGCATAGCTCTGGCACGGCACTTCTCCTGTGGAGACCATGAGCCTGTGCAAATGCACTTGTGGGTCCAAAACATTGCAAGTCCAAGATGAGGCACACGAGCAATTTTTAGCTTGGTTGCCATTGGGAACAAAGCTTAGGCAGCACCCTGTTTGAGGCTTTAGGTCTCCACAAGCTTCTGAATCTC